CACACTCCCCCCGCCCCAGAAACAGCTGCGTCCCAAAGAGGACACTAAAGGTGTCGGGGGTCCTGCTTTGATTAGATGTAGTACTCCTTCTTTTCGTCGGAATTGGTGTGGCCTCCCTCGGCGTTGATGATGGCCGTGTCGGCGTCGGCCGCGTCGTCCGCCCCTTTGGCTTCGTGCGTGAAGTAGGTACCTGAGGAAGACCAAGGAGGATATCACCGCTAGATATAGAGCAGTAGAAGACCCAGTGTCATTGCTACTCAGCCATGTCTTCCATCTAGTGGTGAAATGTGATATTACAACTTAATACTACGGTAGACATTGAATACACGTTTGAAGATTTCTATTTTTTTTTTCTTTTTCCACACATTTTTTCCCAATTTTTCATAGAAACCTCATTCATATTATCAGTGTCTTTTTTTTTAAAATAAATGTTTGGGTTTGTTAACAACAAACACGCTTACTTGTCGTTAGATTATATGAGAGTCCTTGATGGGGGGGTGGGGGGGGGGTATCCTTGTAAGGGGTTTCTGAACTGGAAACTTTGAGAACCTCTTGCCTAAGCGGTTTCTCGCACCTGGGCGAATCTAGGTCACCATGATGTATGGTTGGTGTGAAGACTGAGCTAGCTAGCCGCTAGTCGCTAATGGGCTCAAAAGGCGGAGGGTCAGGTGAACATGACGATGAAAAAAAAAAAAAGAGTCCTCGGCGTTATAAAGCAGACCCTCTTCCCACTCCCCATTAACACTAACGGTCAAAGGGTAGAATCAGCAACTTGAATTGGCATCACTCCTCATTTTTACCGTTGTCGCAAAGCTGACAGGAGGAGAGTAAATCTCATCAATGAGCTTGCAAGTGGCCTGCCAGTTCATTTCCCGCTGACCTCCGCAAGGTCAATTTGGAGCCCCCCCCCCCCCCCCCGGACAGGCTGTCGTGGGTCGATCTCGAAGAGGAGATGCGGTTCGAGGCGCAGGCTCGCCGGCGGGCCACATGGCGGGAGATTAGCGTGATTAAGTGCCGCAGGATGTTGCGGCTCGCTTTAATCTTTGGTGTCATCTGAGCAGCGGGCTGTTATCCAGTTGGTGACGAGGAGGGCAAAGGGTTGGAAAATTCTGGAAAATTTCCAGGAGGATCCTAGTAAATTTTTGAGAATTTTGGCTTAGTCGCAGTTCGGAATTCTTGAATTCACTTTTGTGGAGGTTTTTTTTTTTTTGTTTTGTCAGCTTTTCTGTTGAAAGAAGAAAGGCAACTCCAGGACTGGCAAACTGGCAGGCCGACACTCTGAGTGGCTACTTGATTAATTAAAAATATTATAATTATATAAAAATAAAACATTTCAACATGTTTTTTGTTTGTTGTTAACAAACCGAAAAAAAAAAAAAACACTGATCACATGAATAAGGTTTCTATGAAAAATTGGAAAAAAATGTGTGGAAAAAGAAAAAAAAAAAAAAAGGAAATCTTCCGTATTCCCGTTCAAGACGGCGGAACCGATCACCGTGCGCCGCGTTTCTGCCACATGACGGCCCGCTATCCGTCCGTTACCTTTGTGCCTGGCAAAATAGCGTCCCAAGACGATGAGTAGACAGAGCATGGCGAAGACCACCACGGCCACCACTCCCCCGATCACCGCGTGGTCCACCGTTCTGGGGGTTCCCTCGCCGGCTCGAGAATCTACAAGAAGAAAATGAGATTGCGTCTATGCTTTGGACCGTGTCTATTTTTCAGGCGGGACAGTCGTCCAGACGATATGTGATGTCAAGCAGGTGAGAGTTGACGTCACGGAGAGGAGAGTTCTCAATCGGATTCCGATCAGGAAGAGCTGAAGATCACGACTACCGGACACGCGCGACTGAAAGGCCGTCGCAACTTCGGCCGAGCCCGGTCGACTTCTGGCAGCGAGTCAGTCAATCACAGGACACATTTCGCCAATCATTTTATTCGATGTTTTCATGGCAAAATGCACCACAGCGGTTTCCTGGGTTATTAGGAAGCGCTTCTGTATAAGTGCCATTTTTTTTTCTAGAGGTTTACTTTGCAGGCAAAGTCAGAAGCCAAGGGAGAGAAAAAAAAAAAAAAAGAAAAAGCGTATCAGGGATGCTTGCCATCGGTTCTTAGCAATCTGTTCACGTGGAGTGGCCCATCATCCATTAGCTGCAGTCGCTGGCTAAAACCTCCCCGCGCTCTTCCCCAGCCTCACACTCGGGGATTTGTTGAGCGGGTTCCAGGGAGCACAAGGATCAGGCCACATTTTGACTAATGAATGCCAGAAACGGAAGAGAGGAAAAAAAAAATGATGGACAACGTCGGCCAATATCGAGAAACAACGTAGGAGCAGGAGTGCCAGGCACACTTGACAAAATTCACCCCCCCGGCCCCCCGATTAATCCGACGATTTTAGATTTTGCTTCCAGTGCCGGGCGGCAGCGTCAATTAAACCCCCCTCTGGCAGAAATTCATATGACATCCGATTGCTTTGGGACCGCCAGCGACCTCTTGATGCTAACTTTGTTTCCCATTCCGATGTGAACGTGCTCCCAAAGGGAGGGGAGGGAAGGAAACGGAAAGACGCAAAAGAAAGAGCACGATCGCGCTCCCCGAAGCCCACTCCGCCTTCTTTCTCGTCCTCGTCTTCCCAACTTGACCCGCCTCGTGTCTTAAATTTCCAGCATCGAACGGTGGAACGCCGTCGCTATCAATGTCGGATGGAATACGTCATCATCTCCATCCCCCAAAATCATTTCCAACTCATCTTAAAATCAAAAAATGGCGAATAGATGATTTGAAGCTCACCCTGGAGGAAATGAAATCCATTGCCAGCACTTCCTATGGGGTAAAAAAAAAAAAAAAATGTCTTCCTTTTCTCAACAAAGCAAATTCCGTCCAGCGTTCCTTCCGTCTCTAACGTACGCGGGCGCGTCGACGAGCGTGCCATTTGATCATTCTCAGGACGTCAAAATAAAGTTTGGCTGGATGTCATATTTCAAGATCTGTTTAATCATTATGCTGGAAAACATCTGCTGTCATTTCCTGAAAGCGCTCGGACCCCTCACGCCCCCTCCCCGAAATCATACAACGCAATTTGCATGTCATATCAGTGAGCGTCACTTAGGAGCAATTACTGTCACTCGGCGGAAGATGGGACATCTCACCGGGGGGCGGGGGGGGGGGGGTCTCGTTTCCACATTGCCCGACTGATGACGGCGTTCGAGGGTTATGTACTTTTTGCTGTTCCTTAAACGTCTTTCTTTGGGGGGGGGGGCAGGATGACAAGGGCTTACTGTCCCAAACGAACAGTTTCTCTGAACGGCGGAGGAGGAAGAAAATATGACACCATGTCCCCCGTCGTGCCATTTGGACAATGTAGGTGAACAGGACAGATGATCATTAAGATATTGATTTTTGACTTAAGGGATAATTGGAGTCAGATACATCACTCACATGTCCATTTTTTTTCTCTTTGCTCAGTGTTAGGTGAGTGTTAAGCTCGGGTGGTGGCGTACTTTGCAGTTTGACAGGTTGTGAAAAAAAAAGTGCTTTCTTTGAGTCAGCGATCGGCACGACGCCTCCTACTTGAAGTTTACTTTTCAAACTCAACATGAAACAAAGACAAGTCAACGTAGCGTGTTCACATTTACTCATTCGATGCCCAAAACGTTTTTTTGAAGAATCCAGGCAATCAATCACAGGTAAGTTTTGATGTATTTGAATTTTTTTTTTTTCACTTAGTACTCTAAAGAAGGGTCTGTAAATGCCTGGCACTGAATTAACTCCGTTTTATGAACGTTGGCTAGCTTAATGCTAACGGCTTCAACCGGCAAAAGAAACTAGCATTGATGTATTCAGTACGTCACCTTTAAACGCATGCTGACAGAAGATACAGCCCTACTCGCTTGCATATATTTATCCCTTGCTAAAACAAATATTTTAACTCAACTGGATGTTTTTTTTCATGTTTAGTCACCAAATCTCTTCATGTATTATGCTAGCTAGCCCCGAGTGGCCATGGCGTGTACACCAGAATGATCAGTACAAAGTCCAGTGAAGTGTCTTGATGAGCAAACAGTTAATTCTTTACATTTTATTCACCTGATGTCATGACAAACTCCTTCTGTCTCGATTTAATACGTGCCCAAAAGACAAAAGGATTACGGCAGGGATGTCCTCCAAGCAAGGTGTCCACGGGGATAAACAGACGGAGTGGCAGGACCGCAGATCGCGAGTGCCAAGGTGGAGTGGGGGGGGGGGGGGGGGGGGGGGGGGGCAAATTGAAGTAGAAAGTGAGATGATGAAGAACAATGGTTGAAGATTTCGGCCGAATAGGTGAAGTGTGGAATAAGGACAAACAGCGATTTTTTTTTTTTTTGTGTGTGTTTTGGACATTAAAAAAAGCCAACAACATACATTTTGTTGGACGGCGACACTGAGTAGATGTGACCGTAAATTTGTCGTGTTCCCGCCACCTTTTTGTGATGACAAGCTAAGCAAACATTCAAAGTCATTCCAGGAATAAACCAAACAGTCCATTAGCTCTCGAGGAACCGTGTATCTTTTCCCTAATGGACTCATTTATCATTTATCTAATCAGGGCCAGTCTTCAACCAAAATGTAATATAATTATGGGCTATAAGCGTTCTCGGGATATTGCGCTGTATCTAGGCCACGGCGAGCTCGATAAACACCTTCTAATAATGGCTTTTAGTGGTCTCGGGAGTGACTTATTCCGACGCGTGGAGGACTCGCGGTGGCTCCCGAGGCCAAATGAGTTTGTGGCTCATTGCGGTGATGTGCATCAGTCCCGCTAATGGTAGTCGGGGGCGGGCTGCGCGGGGAGGGGCTTCTCTCGGGTATGATTATCAACCCCCGCAAAAGTGCAACCTACCCTTTCATCCCGCTGTCACTGAGCTGGCTATAAGTCGGCTGCGACGGAAATATCCATTACAGAGGCCCCCTTGTGAGCGCAAAGTTACAGAAACTAAATGTCACGTCGGAGTTTTGCGTCAGGAAGGGCATCCTGGGGGCAAAAAAAAAAACTGCGCCAAACATATCGCACTGGCGACCGCTCACGGGGAAAATCTCATTGAGTGCAGTTGCAACTTTCCACCAACAGGGGTGTTAATACACCATGAGTAAGGTACACATTGCCCAATGGAATTTAACGTGAACCGGAAATTTCTGTCGGATGTTTTAGCTCGCACTGGCGACCGCTCACGGGGAAAATCTCATTGCCTGAGTGCAGTAGCAACTTTCCACCAACAGGGGGTGTTAATACACCGTGAGTAAGGTACACATCGCCCAATGGAATTTAATGTGGACCGGAAATTTCTGTCGGATGTTCTAGATTCGGAGCAAATATTTTGTGCTACTTTTGCTGGCAAGGCACTATGTAGAAGTTGACTGAGGAGCTTCAATTAGATGAACCAAGTGCTTTGCCACCATCTTGTGACATCCTGGTGCCAAGTAAAAATGTTGGACATTTTTATATGGGAGTAAACTGAGTTGCGGATGACAAATTGAACTTGTAGATCGAGGTGCAGCTGTGTATTAAAAAGACGAGTGAGTAAGGAAGTGATTCAGAGGTGGCTAAAAAAACAAAAAAACAAAGTAGGACATCCTCAATGAAGTTCTCCGCTTCCACGCTCTGTAGAGTGACGAAACAAAGAGGCTGTGTTTTTTTGTGGCGTCCAGCGAAATGACATTAGGGGCTTTGCGTTAACATGCGTGCCCGGCAGACACTTGCTGTGCCAGAGTGCAGGAAGTGTGCCAACCCCACTAAATGAAAGCCCCCCCCCTCGCCCCTTTCCCCCAAAAAAAGAGTGGCTGCATTTGAATGTGTGCGACAAACAGCCCGTGGCAAGAGTCTGTGCTCGATCTCTCAGATGAGCTTTTTCATTAACTTTTCATGTCTTTTTTTTTTCCCCCCGCCCTGCCCATTTGAATGAATTAACAACCGAAAGAACAGTTTCATCAACTTCCACTTCAAATTTGTTCAAACTGCCCCAACCCGACTGCCAAACAACTTTTCATTTTATATCTCTCCACAAACCCAAACAGCCTTTTAAAACACAAGCCCTCCCGGCGACACGCCCCCTTTTTAAGACCCACAACGCTGGCTTTGTCAAGCATCACAACGAATGAAAACATCTGGCCGCCGAGCACGAGCCGTTCAAAGCGTTTCACGTCGCCGCCTGCCAACCGCGGG